GGGAAGATGAAAATAACTCTTCAGATCGAGAGGTAACAAAAGAATCATAAAAGATTGGGCCGGGCGGAAAAGGAAGAACTCGGAGCCCTTCCGGGAGTATTTACTAGAATCAGCTGGTTCAAGGTTCACCCAGTGAATCCCGTCCGGCAAAGAGCAAAAGCAGGAAGCACCCCACCCCACTGCAGTGCTAAGGTGCAGGGGGTTGGTTGCAAGTCAGTATGGAAGGCAGCTGAAAAAGCCAAGACCCTTTTCCCACCTCTGTAGCTAGGCAACAACCTCTACTCCTACCAATCCCCCTCCCCAGCGGGGCTTCTTCTGAAGACAGCACACAAGACGGCGCCCAACTTGAGATACCAGGTCCAGGGGAAAGTAGGAGGAGGGAACAGAGACAGAAAAATCAAACAAAAGGATGGGTCCTACACAGTGGTCCCCCTTTAAATTCCCTTCCCTCACCCTGTTTCCACAGTGCCAGCTGCCTCTATGTGTGTTCTCAGGCAAGCCTTCTCTGGAAGAACTGACCAACCCACTGGAGGCTGTTAAATCTTGGCGGGAGCAGACAGCCTCGTCTTTTTCCTGCAGATCGGCCGGTGGTTTTGAACTGCTGACCTTGAGATTAGCTGCCCAATGCTTACTTGCCCAAAGAGCCCAAGAAAAACCTCTGGATATCAACATTTGAGGTCCTCCAGTGGAAAAAGCTAACGTATGCCCCATCATTCCACAGGGAGGCGGCCAGGCCAACAGCTCTGTGGGACGTCACTCTGAAGTAGGAGATGAAATGAAAAGAGCCATAGACATTTTATGGAAGACTAGACGTGGAAGCCTGCTCCACTGGCCAACAAAGCCTGGACATCGGGCAAGGGAGTCAGAGATGTATCCATCCTCCATCTCCCTGTTGCAGATTTCAGTTCCAAGTCCCAGCTGTGAGGAGGGCCCATCTAATTAGCAGACTCCTTGTCTTGGGCCTGAACTCTGGCTGCAGGGGAGACTAGAAACTCAGTAGTTGGCATTTTCATTTTTTGAGTGTGAGGGGCTAGCTTGACCTCCCACCAAGACTCAAAATGCCAGGAATTCTTCACACGTGGTCATTCACCACTGGGGAGGCAAGAAGGAATGACCAGCCCCTGTTCTGTGGTCACACAAACACCCAGTAAGTACAACAGCTTGACCTTGGCCAGCAAGATGGGAGGCATAAGATAGAAGGAAGAAGAGAAAAAAGGTACGATAGGTTCCTTATCAGATTTTTATCCCATTTTTCATTGCAATTTGAGAATTCGGAAAGCAACAATTGACCTAGCTGCTCAAGCTTTGAGAGAAAAATAGTAACCGAAAATGAAGGAAATAGGGAGAAAGCCAAGGCAATTAACTTCAGCAAACAGAAAAACATTGCAGGAAAGTGGAAAAATTCCATTATATTTTAACTCAATTTTTCCATGAACTCTTTGAAGCCCCTCCCATATACTCTGTGACTCAGGATGAAGCAATATTTACTTTTTCATGGTAATATGAATGCTAATTATTACATTTAATAAAAATTATCATGTAACTCCATTTGGGAAACCGGATGAGGGTGAAGTGGAGACAGTGGTACAAAAAAAGTTAAGCCCTTCTTTGCCACAACAGGGAGCCCCAAAGTGATGTCTGAAATGGACACAGCCGGAAGTAGCGACCCATGATCTACAAAGCTGCAGCAGTGTCACCCCAAATCAACAGACACTCCTACCAGAGGGATGAGCACATCTTATTGGAACGTCAAGTCAAGAGGCTGGAGGCAGGCATGTGTGTGCCAGAGAAGGTGATTACACTTCAGCTGGTAGGAAAATGGGGAGGAGCAACCTCCCATGGGGCAAAAATGCTTAACAAAACAAAATAGAACCCGGGAGAGTGTATGTCCAATACTATGTTCCTAACTGGACACTTTTGACCCAGTTTCCACCTAGACCTTGGTGACCCAGGCTGTGTGCTATAGACTACTTCAGACTCTGTTCTTTAGAGACGCACAACATCCTTCAGGGGCTACACCAGAAGGACTCGAGGTGGAAACCCCACTTAGTGAACTGGCTTTACCTCAAATTCGCCTGTAGCCATTGGCCTTAAGGCTGAAACTCCCCGTGTGAGAAGCAGCAGATGACTAGCCAGCTCAAGGGCACAGAACATTGGTTCAGAGATCTTGCCTTGAGGGTGCCCAGTGAATGGTGGGCTGAGCATGCCCTATACTTACTATTGTAATGCCCAATTTGCTCTATTATGACATGCATTGACCTGGTAAGCATGATTCTGGCTTTTTGAATGAGTGTTATTGAAAGTTTTGCCCTATCATCAGTCCCCATCATTCATGTAAATGGTATCTGATCACTTCTGAGTTTAATCTGTACAGATCAACAATTCGTGTTTTGTGGTCTAAAGCCAGCCTATGCTTGTATAATTTTCTCAACAGTTTTAAATTCTATATCATTGGCTAAATTAATAGCACTATCAATAGAATTACCTTACAGCCCAAGGGGATGATATACAATGTTCTCTATCATAAAATGATAATGATTCTCTAAAGTGAACAGGGGCATATATCAACCACACATATATGAATGCATTTGGGGCTCACACTTAGTGGTAGCTCCAATCTAGGAACAATTAGTCATTATGACATGGGCCTGCTTAAAACTCACCCTCACAAAGAGATCACAGAAGATATGGTTGGTATAGAAAAGTGTGGTTAAGAAATGAGATGGTGTCTGGGATCTTAAAAGCTTGTCTTCAAACAAGCATCTCTCTAAGCTTAGCATCCACTAAGTCCACACAGAAGAAGCACACCTGCTTGTGTGATCCAAGGATTCCAAATAATAGAATCCAAATCCAAATGAAGGAATGGTATTAGAGCTTCAATTGTAAACACAAAGTTTTCCAAAGGCTCGGAATGACAGCGGAGGCCCAAATTCCATTTGCAGGGCCCACGCACAGAATGAGCCTCAGGTGAGTCCTCTCTGACCACAGTTGAGGGATGTGAACAGCCTTGTTAACAGGCAGAGAGCACTGGGGAGTCAGTTACAGCAATTAGGTTAAAATATAATAGCTTATCATTTGAGCTCCCTTTGAACCCATTTAAAAGTTGTTTCCATTTATTTTTGTGTTAAAGAGAAGGGGGAATACACAGGTGAATTCCATATGACCACAGACCAAGACTCTGAATACCATGCTATCATGCAGAGAGCATCGGAGAAAGGGTTCTTGAAGGTGCTCCCTGCCACCAAGTCTATTCTGACTCACAGTCACCCTTTGGGGCAGGGCAGAACCACCCCTGTGAGTTTCTGAGACCGTAACTCTTTATGGGAGTAGAAAGCTCCATCTTTCTCCAGTAGAGCAGCTGGTGGTTTAGAACTGCTGACCTTCTGGTTAGCAGCCCAATGAATAACCACTGCACCACCAGGGCTCCTACTGAGGATGCAGCTGGGTTAGAATTTAATACCGTATCACTTTATCTCTCTTCAGATCCATTTTTAAAGTTGTTGTAGTTTTACTATTTCTACTTTCTTCTCAGTTGAAGTTTTCCTCTGTTTTACGGTTGCTGCTGTTTTCTGGCACATTTTTCTGTATATGAAAACCAGGAGGGGTTAAGCTATAGAGACAGGAACTGGATTAATGGTTTCTTGGGGGGGTGACAGCGGAGGTTGGAGGGCAACAGGGAGCTCATAACAGTGATACGAGAAAGGAGAAAGTGTTCTAACCTTGATTGTGGCCATGACTGTCTCTTCCAGCTACGACTGAACTACTGAATTATACACTATGTGGCCTATGTGCCAATAAAACGCTTATAAAAATTAAATGAAAGGTAGCAAGATAAATGTACTATTAGCAATATAAACGTTAATAATGAACGCAGCACCACTGCCATCAGAAATAGGCTCTGAGTGTGGGTCTAAGAAAAGGGGAAACGAGGGAGTAGGGAAGAGAGTGGAGTCTTCTTTTTGATGATATGACTTTTAATGCCAGTTTAACTTATTAAACTGTACATTTACTGTGATATAATTTTTAAAATGATAATAATGCTTCTAACAGTTGTAAAAGCCCACCATTTTAGAGATGAGAAAGGAACCCTAGGTGTGTGGAGAACACACAGCATTTATTTTCAGACATCTCCTCTCTCCCCCGGAGTCACTCCCCCTTGCCCAGCTCTGCCTGTGCAGAGGGCCTGGGGCAGGGCCACAGACAGGCAACCACCGGGATGCTTCCGATGCAGGCAGCCCTGGGGGTGGCAAGAGCTGGATAGAGTGTCCACTCTGGGACACCCTCTAACCTACCTAGCCCGCAGCATCTCACTTGTCAAGTGGAGACTATCTATCGTATTGCATATATACTATGAATTAAGGATTGTCAGTTTATATAATGAATCTTTTGTGCATAAATACAGTATATACACAAAGCATCTGACATATGGTAGGCTCTACAGAATTCTGACCTCTCTCTTCCTTCGAATTTCTTGTGCCCTCTAAGCATCTCTTTGAGAGCCTCTCTTCTTCCTCTTTGTAAATCTGAGAAAGCGTAAGAGAGCCGCATGTCTTTAGCTGATTTTTGAGTGAACAAAATTCATATTCAAGCACTCTCCTCAGCTCCCAGTTCTATTATACAGGAACCTGTTACCATCTGGTTGACTTTGACTCACACCGAGCCTGCAGGCCAAGGGCGAGGCCCTTAGGGTTTCCCAGGCTGGAACCATTGAGGGAGGCAGACTACCACATCTTTCTCCCACTGACCTTTCAGTTAGCAGCCACGTGCTTACCACGACACCACTAGGGCATCCGGAGTAGATGCAAACTTCCGTCTACCATGAACTATCGACAACAGGGGGACAACGAAAAATCCAGCTGTGATATCTGGATATAAGCTTTTAAAAAAAAACCATTAGCAAGGATTTTAAATCCAGTTATGAAGTAAACTGGCTTTGAAAAAACTATGAAACTGGGTGGGCACCCTACACGGCAGGCCCCATGTGATTCCAAAACACGCACCTTCTTCACGGGGCACCTCCTGGTGACACAGCTCAGAGACAAGGTGTTCTCTAGACGCTCCTCCGGGCTGAATCCATCCGTTCCCCGCACTCTGATCGTCCCAGGAAGATGCCCGGCCCTCTGAGGAGGCACTAGACAACCTTTCAGATCCCTCGGGAGAAAAAGAAGTCAGAGAGGCCAGGTCCAAGAGGAAGCTCTCCCGTAGGGTTTGCTTGCTGGCCTTCTTGTGCTTCTTCTTCTGAGTTCCTGCCATCCCGCCCCGACATCCTCTCCGGGGCGGCCTACTCTCGGGCTCGCTGGTGAGCTGGAGGAGCTCATGCATGTCCTTGGTGAATTCTAGCAGAGTGCCTTCCGAAAGGCTCTGGGCGGTGCTCTCAGAGCCACACCCAGGAGCCTTCTTCAAGAGCAGGCGCTCAGAGCAGTGCAGCGTGTCCATGTCTTCTCCGGGCACTGGCTCAGGCACCTGGGGGAGGTGGTCCAAAACCATGGACAAGGAGAAGTAAGAGTAGTCGACTGCGATGTACGTCAACATGAAGTTGATGGTGACAATGGGCGCCAGGACATTCACCTGACCCACAAGGACAAAGGCCATGGTCACCAAGCTAGTCAGGCAGATGGCAGCTACCGGTGTTTTATTTGGTCCTTTCTGCAGAAACAAAAATAACAGGGCTGACAGTGACATCTCAGAAGCAAATAGCATTATGTGACAGAAACATAACTCCTACCGGTTCAGTCGCTTCTCCCCATGCTAATGGCCGCTCAACGATAGACTTGGAACAGTGAAATCCAGTTCATGAGGTTATTATCAGGTTACTGTGAGAACTAATCAGAGACCATCTATATGAAATGCTCAACCTAGTACTGAGACATACTCTGCTGCGAACATACCGTAGGTATGCGTTGTATTACTAACTCTTATATGGGGCAGGAGCCCTGGTAGTGTAGTGGCCTATGCATGGAGCTGCTAGCCCCAAGGTCAGAGATTCAAACTCACCAGCTGCTTCTCAGGAGAAAGATGAGGGTGTCTGTTCCTAAAGACTGCATCTCAGAAACCCAGAGGGGCAGTTCTAGTCTGTCCTGTCGGGCTGTTATGGGTTGGAACTGGTTCACTGGCAGTGAGCTGGGATTTGGGGGTTTGTTTTTTTAATATGAACTATGACTGTGGAACTTAAATCTTCCTAAATATGTTCTTCTTTCGCTGAGTTTTAACATCAGCCTTGGAAATTGAAGAAGTGCGAAGTTGATTCTTCCTAGGCAGTATTGGAAGACATTAACTTGAAAGGACGGGCAGACCCTGGAAAATACGGCAAAACTTTTGGTGACTGGGGTGGGGGATCTCTGACACTAAACATGCACATATGTATCTGCAGAATGGGGTACATGCATGCATGCACACGTGCACACACACACACACCACACTATTACCGTGAAGGTAGGTATGATGATCCTCTCTAGCCACTGCCATCAAGCCAATGCTGACTCAAAGCCAACTCTTTATTTTTTATTAATCAGATGTCGCAACATTCCATAGTTCAAATGAATCGAGCATAATTGTACAATTGCTACTAAAATCAGTTGCAAAACATTTTCTTTCTTCTTGAACTCTTTGATATCAGCTCCCCTTTATCCCCTCCCTTCTCCTCCCCCAGGAACCCTTATTGTTATTGTTGTATTATTATTATGTATAATATATATTTTATAGCCATCTCTTACCCCATCCAATGTATCCATTCACCTACAATTCTGTTATTTGCTCCCCTCCAGTGGAGTTATACAGTCATCATTGCTATCAGCTCCCCCTTCCCCCAATCTTCCCGTATCCTCAGAGAATCATTACTCCTGTTGCTGTTTCTAAAGGGTCATCCATCCAACCCTTGCTGTTACCCTGTCCCTGCCTCCCTACTCACCTCCCTCCACCTTATCACCCCCCATGAGTCCCCCCCAACCATCGGTCCCATCACTGCCTCCATGGATTGCTTATTCTGCCTCTCTTATATGGACACATACCAAAAGAGAGAGAGCGAGAGACCATATAAATGGTCTCAAGTCTAACTGGTATCCTGACCCAGAGCAGATGAATATCTCTCTGTTCCATAGCGAGCCGGGCCTGTTATAATCCATCAGTCCAGTCCCCTTTCCTCTCAGGCCTCCATATCCTGCAACCTGCTTACCTAACAGCACTGATACTCTTTTTGTCCTCAGCCTTCGTGTCTGAAAGGCGCACATCCTGCAGGTCCCCATTGCTCTTCCTGTAGTCAGGGATGGAGCAGTCTAGTGCCCCACCCCTGTTAGACCTCTAGACTTTCAGTGTGGCCCCCTTGTGAGTAACCCCCAACCAGTCCGGGTGAGGTGCCAAGTGCAGCCCCCAGAGACAGAAGTCTACAATCGGGGTTCCTCAGGGACTTTGAGGCTTCGCCTCCGGGGCTGCTCTGCTGCGTCCTCCTCTTGGTTTGGGCGCTCTCCTGAATTATATCTTCAGGGCTGTCCCCTAGACGTCCTCTAGGGAGAGGACGTCATGTCTTCAACTGCAGCCTCAGGGCCAACTCTTTTGAGGAGTTATGAGGCTATAAATCTTTTGAGGGGCAAACGGCCTCATCGGCCTCCCAAAGAGTATTGGTGGGTTTGAACCTCCAGCCTTACAGTGAGCAGGCCAGTGCCTAGCCCACAGGGCTCCTTTCATGATCTCCAGGTGGACGGAGATGGGGAAGGGGTTCTGCTACTCCACAGGCAGTCACTGGTCCTCTTCAGCCCCAAGCTGCAGCCCCTTCTCAGGCCTCATCTTCCCTGACTTAAGGTTCACCTGGCTTTTCTCAAGTCTCCCCTCGCTGACCCCTGGCCTCTCCTTCACAGTATCCCTTGCTGGTTCCTCCACACGTCGGCAGGTTCGACCTGTGAAACTTTCCACGAAGCACCAGCTGCCTCTCGCAATCACTCTGACTGAGATCACAGCAGAAGGCTGAACAGAGCAGGGGGAAAACGTCGAACAAAACTCATTAAAAATGCCCGACCTCCTGGACTGGTTGAGCCCGAGGGGCTGCGGCAGATCATGGCCTCGGCACCTTCCAAACCTGGGACTGAACCGGCCCTCGGGGATCACCTTTCAGGCAAACAACAGACAGCCTCCATCCACAAGGAAGGAGCTTCGCATCACAGTCCTCCACACAGAACAAAGGGGCAGCAATTGCCCCACACAAAGTTCAGCAGGCAGGATGGGACAGGGAAGCCCGGCCAGTGAAAGTGAGGAGTCCCGAGGGCCGGGAGGGAGGGTGCTGTTACACTGAGGAGGAGATTTCAAAATGCATCTGAATTGTTGAATGGAAAACGAATGCTTTGTGAACTTCCACCCAAATCACAGTAAAATGTCCCCAAAGGAATCCTCATGGATAGCATTGTGAAAGTAACTAAGGCCAGGGAATTGTACCTTCAAATGACTCAAACATGAATTGGTATGGTATACCTCCTTCACCCCAACTGGGATGCTTAGGAATTAGGTCAAGTAGACACTCCTGGTCAGGGGGCGCGTCAAAGCTGTCAATCAAGTGGCAGCCTGGTGACACTGCCCTGATGTCATAAGAGCAAGACGGACAGAGATGAGCTCTCTCTCTGCCATGTTGCCTTCTTCCTCATTGGGACTTCCCTGGGACTCTGTGTCTGCTTCCAGGGGCAGCCCCACGGGGGCCACCTGACCCTGAGAGCTGTCGGTGCCCTGCCGGGCTTCCACCAACCTTGGCTCCACGTTGACTCTGCACCCACCAGCCTGTGAGCTCCCTGCTTCCCGGTTCACCTTTCTGTGTCACCGGCCTGCTGCCACATGAGTCTAAAGAGGGACGTACGGCCTAGCAGCAGACGTACTGACTACAGTTGGACTGGGCGGGGATGTTTTCTTGATAGATAATTCTTCTTGGTATGTTCTTTCTCACACATAAGTGAGTGTCAGTGGATTTACTGCTCAAGATAACCCAGCTGAACACACCAGTGAAACTTTAATTTAGAAATTAAAGTGAATAAAGCACTCCAGTGCCCCACCCTCTGACCTCTAAGTAGACTCTCTCCTTGAGTGAGTTCAACCAGCCTCCTGGTTCTAAATACCAGCTTTGTGTTTATAACTGCCAAATCTGACTCCCCATCTAAAACATGTCCCTCAAATCCACCCTAAAGCATTCAACTGCCAACTCCGTATTTCTGATTGCTGTCGAACACAATCACAGTTTTCACACACAATGTGCGTGGCACACCTGGGAAACTAACGTGGGAGTGTGTGGCGCGGGCTGTGGGGGGAAAAACAAGCAAATGTGTGTCTAACACACGTTATTCACATGAAAAGTTTTACAAGCCAATAGACTACGTCCACCATCAAATTGCTAGTCCCCTCCCTTTGTAGCCTTTCGTGTGGTCTCCCCATCTCAGAACATGGCAAACTAACTTCCTGCCGCCTCGTCTCATTCTCCCCCAGGTGGGCCACAAGCGCGGTCAGTGCTCCCGTGAGAGCCCATACAAGCCCATACAGTCCGGCTGCTGCTGCAGCCCCCAGCCAGGAAGCCACTACCAGCTGTGCCGGGCATCTCCCAGCCATGTGCCTCTGGGTGCACTCCCTCTGATGGAAGGCTGTCATGGAAAACCACCTTAGGAGCCACCCTGGGAAGATGACGAAGCCATCATCCGTTGGGCAGGCTGAGGGTCGAAGCCCTCTATCAACCTGAAGCTCTCTAGACTTTTCAGAGAAAGATACACGTCACTGTGTTTGAGAAGTACGGTTTGGGGTGTATTTGCTAAAGCTCTTTCCCAGACTCTAACGACCATTTCACAACCACGCATAGAGGGGACTCATCAGAAACGGAAGGACACTTGAAAGGAGAGGCCTGGAAGAGCGAGGAGAGAGTTGGTGATTTGCATCAGGCCAGGATCAGCCTGAGGGCAGACGGGAAAGTCACAAACTAGTCCCATGTGAACTCACTGAGAGCCGGCACAAAGGGACTAAGAAGGCACAGCCCCAAAATGGAGAGAGAACATGGCAGCACATCCCTAACCGTCGCAGAGAGAGAGATTCGGGCTGTCTGGAAGACACTGAAAAGTCCTATCAAACAATGGGGTGGGGGGGCCAGATGAGCCAAAGGATTTGAGCACGTGCTTGACAAGAGCGTCCATTAAACATAAAGAATGCCCCATCCCGTTAGCATCAAGCAAACGCCAATGAAGGGCACGGTGAAAAATACACTCATCAGATTGGCAAGCATTTTGTAACCCGATCATTTTAATGTCACGTATTGGCAAGAATACTGGCGAGCAGGAAGTCTTCTCCCTGCTGATAGGAGAGCAAGTGGCCACAACTTCTTAGGAAGAGCACTAGCAAATGCAGCTGTGTGTACGTCTGGAGCTAGCAGTTCACTGAGTGGTGGCCCAAACCAAACCAAACCAAACGCACACCCTCGAGGGGAGGCTGACTCACAGCCTCCCTATCGGCCAGACAGAGCGGCCCC